GCTTCAGCAGCTACCCCGCTTTCGCGCGACAAACCCCGAGCTGGACCTCCTCACCTAAAAAGTGTGCGAAAAACCGTTCCAAAGAAGCGCTTCACGCCCCGAGGACCTCCCCGGCTACAATCAGACATGGAAGGGAGAAATAAGTCAACAACAGAGCGTCTAGTCGGGAATCACTGGTCGATGGGAAGTTGAAAAGCTGGCCTAATCGTCGAAGATGAACCAGACGGCTTCATACGGCTACCATTGAATCATAACAACCTTGATTATTGTTTGTGCAAGTGAAGAATTGGCTTGAGAATCGGCTACTATTGTTATTGATCGAAATTGAATCCAAACTTGATTCGATCGTGACAGTGCTGCTCATCGGCTTCTGAAACACATTTATTGATCAAATAGTCGAAAATGAGAATAGAGAAAGCTGTAATGCTTCAAAGCCACATTCCGCGATCACTGGATGGGCGGGGAAGTGGAAGTGGGCGGAGGCTCACAACTACTATGGAGCCCTCATGGTGTCCCTTTCCTCCTAATTCTGTAGAGAGGAGGGCGCGCTGATAAGGAAGGAAGTTTAAAGTGAAGTTAAGGTAAATTTGGTCCGATCAATGGTGAATTTGGTTCGAAAAGACGTGAAAAGATTTCGGAGTAAACATTGGAACTTGCTAGAGTGGCCGCGTGACACACATGGTGTGTCATACCAAAATAGTATAGCAAGAAGCCGCAGTCACACATGAATGCCACGCGAAATAGGCATGGTTCGTAAAGTGTTAACATGAAATGGTATATAACCTCGGGATTGTAACATTTTGGAAGCAAAAGCAGAAATTATTATAAGAAAAGAGGTCGTGTCTCTAGAAAAATAGGTCAAAAAAGGTAAAAGTTGAAGCGTGGGAGCGCGACAGCAACGGTAGCGCGTCGACGCGCGTCTTTACAAAGTCTGAACGCTGTCTGATCAATTTCTCTTGATTTCGTCTGTTTTGGCGGTGGGCACCTTTGGTTGGAGTCACTCGATATTCATTCCTCAAGCGATTCAGTCGCTCGGCAAGAAAAATCGAAAAATATTAAACGCACTCTAACGCAGCCTTTACACTTCTCGATAACGCGCGTCGACGCCCATTACGCGCGTTACAGCGTGCTGACGCGTGTCTTGGCGAAGTCTGAACACAGCCCATGAAGCATCAGGTGAGGGTCTAAGTGAACAATAACGTTCCAATAAATACATTGCGATTAACCAGTAAGCAAAAGAAAGAGCATGGGAGTCGGTAGTTCTTGCAAAGGTTGGAGGACAGGCATTTTTCTCATACAAGACACTCAGCAGCCTTGCAGGTAGCACCTGATTTTGTCGGGGCGGTTTCGAGGCAGGGAAAGAGTCCTGTCCACGGCAATTTTCCACCGGTGGTTATATTTCTTAGCTAAATCGATCACTACTGCTAGACACACGCCAAAAAACAGGTAGACGCCGGCTGACTGCGACGTATTATCGACTTTACACTGTGAAGGGCTTCTTGCGCCGATTTAGTTGGGGGAGGGGGAGCATTGCGCTTACGCTACTTCTCTAATTTGTCATGTCGAGGCAATTTAAGTAAAATTTTGTGAAATTCTTTGAACCGGTTAAATAGGATACTACACGAAGTTTGTAGCGAGCTACTTGAACTTACCGTAAAGCACAAAATACGACAGTGTGAAAAGTAGCGAAAGTAGTAAATGCTACCACACGTATGCCTGCCAATGGCCCATATGGTTTTTTCATTTTGGCGGCATTGAGGGCCCGCAAAATGTCTCTGCCGCAAAATGCCCCACAATGCATCGATTCCCAAAGAGAAGAAAGATAGAAGTAGTAATGGTTACCTTGATGCCAGTTCTTGACTTGGCTCTGATGTAGGCGACCACAAGAATGATTATCAATGCTGTTAACAGTAAAGCGACCACACACGCTGAGATCACATTGAAAACCGATAACCGTACAACAGAGTCTTGTATCTGAAAAGAAAAAGCCTTTTTCGGGTGTCAAAATAAATTTTGAAGGGCACCTGCCAGATAGAGTGTGGTTAATGAGGTAGAGATAAAGCTTTCACCTTCGATCACTCCCTTTTTGAGTTAAGGCCCGCATACGGGGGGAGGGAGGGGGGACCAAAAAAGACACTTTGTCTGAGGCACATATCAGTACAGAAACGCGCTCAGAGAGACGTGGATACGAGTACCAGGGCGGAAGATACCCAAGATGTTCCTCGATAAGCAGGAGCAGGCTCTCGCCATCACCTTCATGTACACCAAAATATGAAGCCATCTCCAATCGCAGCCTGACTGGAGAAGGCCTATGGAATTCACGTCACCTCCAAACAGCTGCGAAACTTCTTGTATCGAGTCACCCATGGACAGCTCTGGGGACCGGCACTCTTGATCTGGAAGACCTCCAACATCGAGCTGCTCCGACAACGTCGCTATGGTCCAGGATATCATCCCCACCGCAGTCGCTAAGGCGGGTTGATGGTATGAACGGAAATTCCGGGATCGGGAAGACCGATAGATTGGACCTTCTTGGACCCGAACTGAAAGTGAATGTTACATCGAATAGGTCGAGGAGAATATCCTGCCTTCATGCCGTTGCCTGTACTCTTGGAAACTTCGTACTGCTACAGTATGGGGTGCCAACACATGGATTCGAAAAACTCTCTTCTGCTTGGAATGGAAGCCCGTTGAGAAGAAGACGACGGAATATCCTAGTGTGTCACCTGACCTGAACCCCCTCGATTACTGGGCTCGAGCGGAGCTCAACAGGGTGGTCTACAGTGGCGGAGAAATCAACGACCTCGCTGAACTCAGGCACCGAATCACGGTCGCGTGGCAGAATCTCTCGATGGCGTTCGTCCAGAAGGCTGTGGCGGAGTTTCGTGATAGTGTACAATGTGTTGTTGAACTTGATGGTGGGAATGTCAATCAGAATTCAAGAAGTGTAGCTTATTTCGCTTGAAAGTCGGGGAGAAAAGTGTCTTTTTTGCCCCCTCCCCTTATGGTATGGAAAGATTGGTTGGCCTTAAAAGCACTCGACCCCGTTGTATTATAAAGAGGACGAAATCTTTAGCTATTGAGCTATCTCTACCTTAACTATCCTGGCAAAAACTCAACTTACCGCTGACATATTATGGAAATCCATATCGACTCGACTCCTCCTTTCAGCAATGCTTATCAAGAAAACAGGATTGCTCATTC